TTTGGCCCAATCCAAATATTTATCCTTCCATAATAAACTTCATAACCAGCCCAACTCTGTTGTTTTTAACCTTGCATCCTATTCAATTCCTGATAACCCTTCGAGGAGTCTGAAAAGAAGATGGCCACGTGATCTCCTAATATATACATATTATTAGAGTGCTACCAATGGGTAGTTTCTTAACATATGTTTCATGTCATATATCCATGTGCGAATTTACCAGATGTATTTTTCTTACACAGTTGTAAATATCATAGACATAAAAAGAAAAAAAAGAAAAAGAGAAATAAAAAAAAAGAAATAAAATTAAAACAAAGCATAAAATACATGCATACCTATATACACTACCATGGTGACAGCTAAAAATGATTAGTATTTTTATAGAAAGCTCCTTCGACAACCCAATAATGAAACTAAATTGAAATAATCCGTTAAGATAATAATAAATTTTACCACTACGAATGTATTAGTTTGTTATTATAAAAATGTATAAGTGCAAATCATTCTAAAAATAATTTTGAACATTATCGAATAAAATATTAGAGAATATTCTCTTATAACATTATAAAATATTATCTGAATTTAGAATCAACTGGTTAAAATCTGGAAATTTATATCGGAAATTAGTAATAGATTTAATAATTGGAAACAATTGGATATCATTGGTAAATTACTGCAAGTCTGCTTTCTCCAATAGAATATTGCTCACCAAAGAATTTAACAGTTAATAAATTGGAGAATTTTGGTACCAATCTTTTTGTAATTAAAATATTTATATAACTTCTACATTTTAAATATAATTCTTCTTATTTTCTTATTAATAAGTTGTAAATAAATCGATTGAAATATAATTTTGTTATAAAACACAGGCTCCTGTGACGGTCAACAGACCATGTAGCACGTATGATTTTCGGTTTTAAATCCAAAAATATTATTTTGTATTGTCTTGTAATTTATATTATGTAATTTTAATTAATAAAAAGATTTTTTCTTCTTCTTCTATTATTGCGGCCATAGAAATAATGAATGACTATTAAAAAATAAATTTCGCCAGAGTTGAAAAATTACTAAGATTGTACGACAAGTTTAACTTTTTTTTCTAACTTTTATTATGATATTTACAACTGTATTAGTATGAATGAATACATCAAGTAAATGTGTACAGAGAAATATAATCACATGAAACACGCTTGTTGAGAAACTACCCATTGGTAGCACTCGATAAATTTCTAGATTTTAACCATTTAATTCTAAATTCAGAGAATATTTTATCATATTATAAGAGAATATTCACTAATATTTTATTTGATAATGTTCAAAATTAATTTTAGAATGATTTGCACTTATGCCTTTTTATAATAACAAACTAATACATTCATAGTGATAAAATATAATCTTTATCTTAACGGATTATTTCAATTTAGTTCCATTATTGGGCTGTCGAAGGAGCTTTATATAAAAATACAAAGGATTTTAGATGTCACCATGGTAGTGTATATAGGTATGCATGTATTTTATGCTTTGTTTTAATTTTATTTCTTTTTTTTTTTTTTATGTCTATGATATTTACAACTGTGTAAGAAAAATACATCTGGTAAATTCGCACATGGATATATGACATGAAACATATGTTGAGAAACTACCCATTGGTAGCACTCTAATAATTTGTCTACATGAGGAGATAACGAGGCTATTTTCTTTTCAAACGCCTCGGAGGATTATCAGGAATCGAAGAGGAAGCAAGGTTAGAAACAAGAGGATTCGGATGGTTATGAAATTTATAATGGAAGGATAGGAATCTGGATTTGGCCAAATCGGAAACATATGTAACATTGAGGTCTTTATGGATTATTTTATTTGTGAAAAAGTGAGGAGCATTGAGGATTTTACGAAGGATTTTGGATTGTAAAGATTGGATAAAGTTTAACTTAAATCATAGTTTAGTCTAAACTTAGTTATTGTCACTAATACCTCATTAATTCTAAGGGTCCAATTTATTACGTTACTGTATTTTTCTAACGGTTATTTCTTTTGCCTAATCTCCAGGATGTATTTAAAAAAAAAATAGTTATTAATTTTTTTTTTTTTTTATTACTTACATTTTTAAAAATAATTCGCTAAATGCACATGCATTAATTAACATAACTGTACATAAGAGTAAAAAGTTTTCTACTAGCAGTAGGATAGGTAAATGTATTCCCGGAACATAACACATTAATTAGTCGGTCCGGTAGGTTGGTAGTTACCTGTGTGTAACTGTACCCTGGGGTCCTGCCCGACCATGTTATTCGATAAATGAGATCTAATGGATCATGTTAACCCTCATCCCAGGTTTATTTCAACAAAGAAATGACAACGGAAACATGACATAATGAAAATCATGATAAAATAATTATGACTGAAATATCAGAAGAAAAAAAAAACAGAAGCCCGTAGCTGTTCACCTCGAAGCTCACTATGAGTTGATTGTCCAATCGACTAATAACAAAAGTTTCCCTTATCATGCCACTATTTCATCATAAAGTTTAAATTAACTGGCCCGTGTAATCACTGTTTACAATGGAATTTAAACAGTTGCCGACTACTCCTTCAACCTTAAGAACATTATGCAAATGAACTTACTAGTTTTGAGATCGAGTTTCGGATTTCTTACGGTAATGTTCTTAGCAATTGTGTTTATGCTAGATTGTGGAAACTTCCAGAGGAAAACTAAGCCTTCATCTCGGCTTCAGAGGGTTATAAGATAAAAACATTAAGTCCAACTTAATTTAAGAATATTTCTTTAAAGGGAATCGAAAACTAAATGTTTATGTGTTGATAGAAATCTTAGAATAATTTTCTTAAAAACTTAGCCAGAATTATAGATTAACAAAAAAAAAAATATATGTATATAATAGAAATTAAGTCTCTATTATTATTATTATTATTATTAGTGTAAATGTAATGTATCAGAAATGTTAAATTGAACAAAACAAAGAATAATTAAATGACATCTATCAAAATTTGATAGATAAATAAATGAATTTTTCAGATTTTCCAGAACATTTTTGATAAACCAAGTCATTTAAATATTTGAAATAGTACTATATTTACATATGAAGACAATTACTCTAAATCCTAGTTTCCAATTCTTTACCGATGGATATAATTTATTCTCTCTTGTCATGAAGCTAGAAACAAGAAAAATATTTATCTCCAGACTAAATTGATAGGAGCTGATATTTATGATTTATGATATACATAGTATAACAATTAGAATTATTACTATTAATACATAAACATAGTAACCTAGATACAAGAGCGTATCGTCTGTTTAATTCCATACGTTTTTGTCTAATGTTTGTCCTCCAAGTTAGTCTTTTGTCCAGATAAAAACTCAAATATTTAATTACATCGGATGCAGGGTTATTGTTATTAAATATATTTAATAACATATATAAAAATGTAAATATATAAAAATGTTATTAAATATATTTCGAGGGAAGAGGTATGATTAAGAGGGAATACTACGTACACACTTTTTTTTTTCATTCATTTTAATATTCCACTTTGTGGCCCAATCAGCAATATCGTTCAAGTAGTTTGAAGCTTGGTGGATGCTCGAACAGGATTTTTATCTGAACTGAGGATTGCGGTATCGTTAGCAAAAGTAGCCTTTAGAGTTTCACTGTGCGGTAAGTCAGACATATATATATATATATAAGACATATATATATATATATTATATATATATATATATATATATATATATATATATATATACATATATATATATATATATACATATATATATATATATATACATATATATATATATATACATATATATATATATATATATATATATATATATATATATATATATATATATATATATATATATATATATATATATATATATAAAAGTAGGGACAGAACATTCAAACATTAAATCTATTAAAGCAGGAGTACTTCAGGATAGTGTCCTTGGACCAATATATATATATATATATATATATATATATATATATTAAACAATATTGGTCCAAGGACACTATCCTGAAGTACTCCTGCTTTAATAGATTTAATGTTTGAATGTTCTGTTCCTACTTTTACTACAAAATGTCTGTCTGTTAAATATAAATGTAGTATTAAATAATAGGTGAGAGTAAGTAAAATTTTAAATTTGGAAAGAAATCCTTCATGCCAAAATTTATCGAAAGCTTGACTGATGTCAAGAAAAACTCCAGAACAATAATTTTTAGATTCTAAACAATCAGAAATATAATCTACTAATCGATGTCATTGTTGAAGAGTTGAATGATGCTTTCTGAAACCGAATTGATGATTTGGAATAAATTTAAAGATATCAAGAGGATCGAGGCGACGAAGAATAATTTTGTCAAATAATTTAGAAAAGCAGGGAAGAAGGCTGATTGGACGATAGCAATTTGGAGAGTCTAATGATTTGCTAGCTTTTCATATCATGACAACTTCAGAATATTTCCAAAGTAAATAATTTTAGGAATCACATAGCTTTGTTTATTCGACGTTTCGACCTTCTTTTTAAAAAATTCTACACTGTTAACTATCGTATAAATTCGTATGTTTTAATATTTAAAAAAGTAATTTTTATTCTGCAATGTATAGTTATTACAATTAATTGTATCAAAAAAACTTAAAATGGCTCTTTGTAATAAAAACATTAATAAACAACCTTTACTATTATAGGAATATGGGATTTCTAAAGGTTGTATTTTTAAATATTTTCTTAATCTTGAAACAAATCAAAAATATCAGTTTTCAATAACAACAAATTTTCTTTCTTACCTTAAATTTTTAGATATTTTTTAATTTTTTATTTAAGGGTTTTTCTTCATAAATTGAAGTTTCCCTCAACCAAAATCCTCCCTCAGTTGGTTCTTCCACATCTCCCTTTCCAACGCTTTCTCCTCCGTCAGCGCTCGGCCCGCTATACTCTCAGCCACATCTCTTCACCTGACACGAGGTCTTTCTCTCCCTCTACTACCCTCGGCCTTCCACTCAAATGCCGTTTTGGGAAGTCGTTCACTATTCATCCTTTCATGCCCATACCACTGTAATCTTCTTTCTTCCATTATTTCTAGTATATTGTACTTAACTGCCATCCTTTCTCTAATGATCTTTATACCTGATTCTTTGCGCCCTTGGGACTCAAGCCGACCTTATTCAAAAATCCAGCTCCACAGCTGATGTATTGATATATCTATATATCAAGTTTGTGATATTTAATTGATATATCTTGATATATTTTTATTTGTTATAAATGTCAAAATTTCATGCTATCCTTAAAAGTGACGATTTTAATATTTGGAAAAAAAAAGTAAAGAAATGGTCTAATAGTTGATGTCAAGGAAAAAGTTTATCTCTCGAATTAGTACAATAAATTGGAAAATACTAGTCGTTGTAATGGAAGTAGATTTATAAAAGAAAATGCAAATAGCAATTTCGCTATCCGCTTCCTGTGTTCATTTTACACAATCTACCGGGAAAGAAAAACTCTTTTCCATTTTTCTACAAAAGAGAGCTACTACCTTCAGCTAAACAGCTCATCTCGAAAACATTCCCAGCTTTTAGATCAAGTAATAGGGCTTTGAGGGTACCTAAGCTTTTTCATCATAGTTTTTCAAGAAGGTGGGCTGCTTTCGCCTCCTGTTTGAATGTTGTTTTCTTAATCAAATTGTACTGTTTTTGAGATGGGTGGGAGATGGTGGAGAGGGGGGGGGGGATGCAATAGGAGACGGTACAAAGAGGCTAGTAACGTTATAATCTAAGAGAGAGGAAAATAAAGAAGGTCCGCTATGAAAGTTTAATTCCCCGGCGAGGGAGAAGGGGAGGGAGTGGGGGAAGGGGAGGAGGGCACGCCTTACTTATTCATAGAGGAAACGGGCTTCATAAGGTGAGCTTATGAAATTATAACAAGATTCCGAGCTTAGGCACAAATGCTACCTCTTCCACACCCGCCTACCGCTCCTCACAATAAACCATCCGTATTATCTGTACATATGTAATGCAAACCACAAGAGTAAATACATCTTTGAAAAATTCAAAAGTTCAGATGAAACTGAGCCCTGAGAGCTGTGGATGTTTCTTAATAATGCACGTTACAAAAGGCTTATATTTCGGAATAGTGCAAAAGTATGTTTTTCTCCAGCACTTTAAACTCTCTCTTTGTCTGTTTAAATCCAGACATGATCCATTAGTGTTATCTTGCAGATTGCCGTCCGAAAAGGAGAGTTTCAAAAACTACAATAAGTTGCTATTTAAAAAGCCTAATGTATGAAGTGCACGACCCAGATCAGAAATTCATGACGTGTCAGGCGTCCAAACTCAACTACTTGTATAGATATCTGTAGAAGCTGCTTAAAAATCCTAAATATAATTGATTTTGGAAAATGTTAATGAAAGATGAGAAGCGGATATAAAAAAGTCTGATTATTGAAAAAAATAATCATGCTTCATAAATTATGAGGTTTAATTGTGATAAACTCGAAATGCTATGTAGAGTTTCATAATTTTAATCGGTAGATTATGCAAAAATTTTTGCACTAACAGTTTTGCAACGTAACCCAAAACAAGTGCCAAATTAAGATGACAGACATTTCTGAAGCAATTTATTTATTTTTAAGTTCAAGGAAACATTCCAAAAATAAATAAAAATACACGAAGCTATTTTTGAAGAATTTTTTGCCTTTGTTATATAGATTTTTATATTTTTTATTTATTTATTTTTTTTATTTATTATTATTTTTTTTTTTATGTATTGTATATATGGTATGAATGTGCCTCACCCAGCCTTAGTACTCAGTGCCCTTAAGTGTGGCAAAATCTATTATTACTCAATAAACAGATAGATAAAAAAAAAAAAAAATTTTGTAGAAGGTACAGAAACCTTTCTCTTTCTTTCGGTAGTTACCTATACATAAAAGAAGAAAACGATTTCTTTCCGTTTCAATAATCAATACCCAACAACTGTTTCAATTAAAAATACTGCTAGACAAAAATCAATATGGTTTCTTGGATATTGATTATTTACAGCGAATATCATTACAATGGTAATACTCATATATATTTTTTACGTTTAATAATTGTTTATGATGAATTCAGGAATATAGGTAGAATTTAAAATAAGACATATTTTGTAAGACGGATTTGAATTTCAGACTTCACAATTTTTATCACAGCTAAAGAAGATATAAGTGGATTTACAATTTTATTGTATTCTTACTTTTGTTCTACTTTACTGTTAATTTTTCAGGATATATTTATTTAAAATGAACAGTGGAATAAATATGCTAATAAAAGAAATGAGTAATCAATACGTACATGTTTTCGATACATTAGATTCCACTACGTGTGTTTTTTTCATAAAAGTATGACGTTTTCCCCAATGTCATTCATGTTATGTATTTAATATTTTGATTAATCAGATTTTTAAAAAATATTTCTTGTTAACTAAAATGTTTAATAAATTCGAATACTGCGGCCTATTATATGGTGGCTTTAATTGATGAATGACAGTAGTCCATTTTCGAACTAATTGTAAGTGAGATGTTTTGTAAATACAAACGAGAAATCTGCATATTTATCAGAAATTTAATAACAGAGTGGAATAACATTTTAACTTCTAATATTACTACTATATATATATATATATATATATAATTGATCGTGGTGTGTGCACGGATTGTATTGCTATAGGTAATAAGCAAAAAAATGTACTTAGGTTAGATATAAGAAACAAACGAATCTATTTATCTATAAACTTTATAAACACTTACCGGCAAAGTAAGCAACCATTGCAGAAAGGGCAACGGAGAGCAGTATTAGAGCGATGGCGGTACATTTCCACGAACAGGAGTGCTTGCATCTCTTGTCGATGTTGAACCTGGATGGGGAGTACGGCGAATAGTGTGGAGGTGGAGGCACTGTACTCCGCGTGGTAGGGTACACTGGCAGGACTACTGGTGTACCTGTTGGACCCATCCTGGAAAACAGAGGAAAAAGAGTTATAAAATGCTAATATTTAAAAATATGTAAACTATATTAAGAAAAGGAAGTAAGAATTTCCTCATAAGAATTAATTTATACAAATAAAGTACAATAAATAAATCTACTATAAGAATATAAAACACGGATGTAGGCTGCGAAGAAACAATTCATTTAGTCATCAAACTATCTTCGTTTTAGATGCTTCGGAGATTTGTTCATAAACAGTTACGGATGAAAAGTTATGGAACAGAGGGTTTAGGTGACAAAGGAGTTATTTGAAAAACTGAACTTAAATAGAAAATAAATATAAGAGAAGTTGGTTGGGGTGTTCAGACAAAAAAAAAAAAAAAAATAAATAAAAGAAAATAATATTTATGACCTGATGAGTATCTCTGAACTTTGAGCCGAAACTTCGACAAAAATAAAACACCTCAACCAAATTTTCTTATAATTAATTTGTATAAAGTTTCGTTTTTCAAATAACTCCTTTGTCACTAAACTCTCTGATCCATAAATTTTCTCCCGAAACTGTTCATGAACAGTTTTTAATGTAGTTTTTAAAGTGTTTTTTTTTTAATGTAACTAATAATGCTGATAAAAGAAAATTTCTTGTGTTATATTTTGTACGAAATAGATAAATAACAGAAATTAGTATAATTAAGTAATTCTTATAAAGTTCTCGTAGTGAAGTTAAATATTATAGGATGCACTGAAGATCGCTTTTTCATGACATTTCTTTAATTTGATCCTTTCAAAATATTAACTTTATAAATAAAATTGAACATAATTAAAAAAAAAAGTGTATGATTTCAGTAATGACAAAGTTAATCAAATACTGTCAGATAATAATTCAATATTTCTAATTACTATAACTATAGCCTAAACTAAATTGTAAAAGTAATTAAATCTTTTAAAGAGGAAGAAAGAAAAAAAAAATGAGTTCGGTTTATCAAACTTGAAATATTCAATAATCCTTGGATTATAGAGGCTTTACCGACACAATTGCTAATAACCACTCCGTTATGATAATTGGGTTAGTTAATAAGTCACAGATCAAATTATGGTTTTATAAACATATTAGTGTTTCTCAAAATTGCATGGTTTCATCGGCTCTGTATCCAGCTAATTACACATACCTATTAATTAGGTTAAATACATTTCGCTAAGAATAAGCATCTGATATATATTATGCAGTGGTTAAGTAGAAAAAAATGATTGAGTAGAATTTTGTTTTTAAAAATGTGGATTCAATAGATTTACAACTGTAAATCGTCAAACGAAAGAACCAAGTGATGTAAACTTTAATAAAGGTAGTTTTTAAATTTTATTTAAATGAACTTGTTTTAGAGAAATGATGAATATCTTATTAGGAATTGTCGTCATCTTTCTTATAAATCACCGAATTCGTGGTACCATTTATGAAATCACTCAAGCTCAAAAGAATAACAATACTGATGCTTAACAATATGGAAACGGATCAATATTAAAAAAAAAAAATCAAAGAAGAAATATAGTCAATTATAAGAAATTTAGCTTAATTTAGTATAATTAATGAATATATTGTATATAACGATGGAAATATTATTATTTAATGTATATAATAAAATGTATAAAAATAATAAAATTAGCAATACAATTTTTGGGTTTCGGGATTAATCAATAAAAAATTGCTTTTGAAATTTGATGTCGATATTTTCAAGGATCAAGTGGGTCGTCTTTAGGAATACAGTTCAGATGAGAAAGAAATGTAAAATAAGTCATATTAAATTCCTTAAAATGACATTATAAAAATAATTAATATTCTGATTTGTTTTTACATAAGTTATTTTATATTAATTTATATTGTATATTTTATCTCAAATACGTGTTCGCAACCTTGCAGAAGCCCCTATGGCTAAGACAAAAAGTTGGTTTTAAACTAAAATAATGAAATGCAAACAGTTTGGTTTTGATGAGGTAGAGATTAAAATCCAAAACTAAAACATTATCGCTATATGAGAGGGCGAAGTGACGAGCTGACTACAGCATTTACAATACGGACCAGTCAAGCTGATAACATGAAGATTACGAGTTCGAGTCTCGGTGCCGTGTAGTGGGATGAGTAAGAAAAACTCTCGATTTCGACTAAATATACTTTTTTTTTTTTAGAACTCCCAAAACTAAATAAACTGTTCTATTTATAATTTATGGAATTTGTTGAGAAACTTCTTTTCAGTTGGCTGAATATATTTTTTTTTTATAATATACTTTTTTTATTGAATAGTTCAATTAATAATAATAAAAAAAAAGTTATTTAGCTGATGTCGCGAGTTTTCCCTTACTCGTCCCACTGTTTCCTGCCCTTTCTCATGGTCCAAGAAAAAAAACCGCATACAAAGAAAATATTATAGAAAAAAAAATCTTTATTGATAGTGTGACATTACTATTTTGTTATGCGTTTTATGTTTTTGAAAAAAGATAACGAGAAAAGTTCAGTTATGAAGAAAAATTATTATTTTCATAGTAGTTTTGGTAACAATAAAAAATCATTTATAGATAAAACATAAGTTTATTCTGAAACCAATTCCATCGAGAATAACAAAATAGCACAACCTTAAAAGATTACATCTGGCCTAAGTAAAAACAATAGAAAAAAAAAGTAAAGAAAACATCAGGTAAACATGCTATATTCTAAACAGATAAAACTATATATTATAGAAAACTATATTGCGTCCACTGAGTCCACAATCCATTAATGATTATTAATGGAATGAAAATCATTCTCTAATTATAAAATATGTCATAAACATCATGAGCAAAAAAATAAGAAAAATCTTTTTACCAGGAAAAGAATGTAATTAATAAAATATTAATTTTATTTTTATTTAGTTAACAAATCTTTCGTAAAAAAACTTTTGTTAAAGTATGTTTAAGTAAAAAGTTTAAGATAAAATATTCATTTGAAAATTAGTGGACCGGGACAAACGTGGAGAATGGAGAACATATTGTGAGGCGGGGCACTTGTATTTAATGTTTAGATATTTAGCGGTGAAGTTGTAAGTTAATTATAGCTGAGCACTGGCCCGAGAGAATCGCGGTTTGCCTTTCGTCGTCACCAAACTCAAAACTTTACCAACTAGACATTTAGCCCAAAGGTTTGTCCTCTATTGTAGTAACCCCAAACGCATTATTCCGTCATTTACCTGAGTTGTGTTGTTTCCTAATAGAGTTGTAAGCTTCTAGCTGAAAGTTCAAAGTGTTTAGCTGGTGGTTTCATAGAAGGGAAATTAAACCCATAATAATGATTTTACATTGTTGCTTGATCGAAATCAGACAACTTAAGATAAAATGCAATAATAAGCATTATAATTCAAGAAATACAACTCGGACAGAGAGATTGAGGTTAGATCAAATATATGAGTGATTGGTATGTTTCGTTTGAATTGTTTATATTTTAAAATATACTTACTCAACTATTTGAATGTGTTGGTTAATATTAATTAAAATTATTAGTTATGGTGCTCGCTGATTGAGTCAGAGGTGATGTCTGAAGTACTGTCAAAAATAAAACACATGGTGCTATCGGTAGAATGTGCGCTATCCCTTAAAATGCCTACAATTTATGCCGAAATGTTATTTTATTTCTCAAGCATATTTGTTATAAGGGAACAATAATAGTTATTCACTTTGTCTAATAATAATTATTATAACGTAACCTTAAAACTATGCAATCCATTTTATCACTCCATTAGTTTTCCACACTCACCGTGGGATGGAGTGGCTGAATTTTGCCAGAACGAAAAGGATTTTTACTACAAATTATCAACACCGGATTCCACACACATGGTTGTTTCAAGTTTTTTATTTTGGCTAGGAACGGTTGGAGTGGAGCGAAAGCTGGTGTCTAGCTGAATGGATTAATAGATGTAAAATCAACAATAATTCATTTTTTAAAACGGAGCATATGGAGTCAGTTGCACTCTACATTGAAAGATACTTGACAAAGAGCTATTTCTCAAACCATGTATGCTTAGAAATGTACAGTTTTGGACTCAAGCACTTTGCAACTTTCAAAAAAAGATGTAAGCTGACATAAAGATCAGTATTCTCTGAGAACAAGACATTCCACAATTATATATTTTTTTATTCTTTTACCATTTCACATTCATCTCAAAGATAGTTCAATACAAATTGTATACATTACAGCGATATAAATATTAAAATTTGTATATATAAGGAAACTTATAAAAAATAAAAATACCAGCAATGAAATGTAAATTAATACAGTGTTTATAATTTTTACTTTTAATTCTCTTTTGTCTGAAAATACTAATTTCTACTAACAAAGGGCTGGTAAGTGACAGTTGTGTGATGCGCGCACAGCACCGGTTTTTAAAAAAAAATATAAAATACCGAACAGTTTTTTGTGGATTTCTTGATTTGGATTGGGTTTAAAATTTACAAGTCATTTAATATTAAGCTAATGAATTAAATCACATATTAATTTATTTATTTTAAAAAATGTTGTTGTTATAGTGGATAGGAAGCTTAAGAAGAAAAAGAATAATCGATTCCTTAAATAGTTCAAAAATATTCCAGTAATTATTCAAATGAATTAAAAGATTAAATTTGAACGGTTTTATTAATGAATGAGTACAACGCATCTATCCTTGGAGGCATGAAATAAATTATTCAGTATGTTTGGGAAAACACGGTCTATTTCGGTTAGGGAAGAGAACTATCTGACTGTGTTATACACCAGGCGCCACCGAAAATAATATGATTTATACATCCGCTGACAGCCAGGGCGACACCCAAAACCGTACATCGGATACCCTAAGCAAACAATTAATCCAAGGAGATGATCGCTGCGATACATCAACGAAGAGCAACTGTCCGAGGGGGGAGATATCTAGCTGTTGGCGAGCATTAGTCAACGGACACGTCTCTAAAAACGGAATGGTGAGAAAAAAAAAAATGAAGGCAATCAAAAGGAGGGATGACCTACCATGGGC